CTCACCCGGCCATTTACACGCCTCCCTGGCGCCCGCGCCACGCACGCCCCTCATACTCACACACAGCACCCGGACTGTCCCACTGCCCCTGCTCTGCCTCACCCCCTCCGCGCTCCGGGGTCAGCCCCCAACACTCCAGTTCCCATATAGCCTGGGGGTTTGCGCGTGGCATGGTTGCTGGGTTTTCAGGAAATGCCCCAATTCTGAGAGGCATGTCGCACCCCTTTGCCAGGAGGCCCTGGGAGACCAAAGGGATCTTCAGCTTCTGTCTAGTATCACCAGCCTGGATGGGGAGCTTGCCAGTGTCTCCCCACCAACGTTTGATGCCCCACCAACCTTTGATGCCACCGCTCTTTGGGAGAGGAAACTTGCCGTACTGGGGCCTTGGGGATATAGATTCGGAGTGAAGAATTGGGGGCTGGGGTGGTACGTGGGGACCTGGAACCAGGCTTGTGGGTGGAGGAGCCCTGAGCCAGCCATCTTAGTGACCCCACTCCCAGGATCTGTGGAGGGACTGTGTCAGGGGACAGTGACTGACTCCTCAGTCAGTGAGGCCACCCTCCCTCCAACGTGCCTGGGAACCCTGCACCCAGGAATGTCAGCCCTTTCCCTGAGCCAGAGGGTGACAGGTTTGGAGAAGAGCAGTAGCTGTGCTGCTAGAGATGTGGGAACAGGGCAGGAGACCCGCCCAAATTGACACACCCAGTCTGGAGAAGACCCAAGCCCCTGAAATCTGAAACCTTCCCCAAGCATTTTGGGAGAGGTTCAAGCTTGGACTCTGCCTTTTGTCAGCTCTGGTGACTATGAGAAAGTATTTTCCTGCACCTCAGTTTTCTTACCAGTACAGTGGGCAGAGTAGCAGCCCCATCAGAAGGCAGCAGGGAGGATTTGCTGAAATAACACCTGGCCAGCCCTTGGTACAGGGCCTGGCATATAGTAGGTGCCCAGTAAATGCCAACCATCACCCTCGCCAGTCTGTACTGTGGTTTCCGAGGGCTTTGAGGGGGTTGGTAGCAAGATGTGTTTATTCCAGAAAGCCGGGATCACTTGAAAAGGCTCTCAAACCTAAAGATCCTAATAAGGCTCCCAGCCTGGGAGGTCCAGGGCACCCCTGTCCCCACCCATGGTCCTTCCCATTACCTGCTGGCCTCAGAGTGAGTGTAGGGGGAGCCAGAGATGTGACATGGGGACACAGTGAGCAAGGAAATGGGGTGAGGGGGAGCAGAGCCATGGGGACCCTCTCCCCTGCAGGGGCACAAAATTCCTGGAAAGCCATTTCTTGACAAGCCCAGGAGGGGGCCTTGACTGTGGTCAGATTCCAGTAAGGCCAGTGGCCACCCCACCGAAAGGCCTAGTCTGGAGGTGGCATGGTGGCCAAGAACCCAGGCCCAGCACCATCGCATCTTGCCGCCAATCCCAGTATTGCTACTCCCATGCTGAGTGACTCCAGCCACGGCTTCCTTGTCTGTGAAAGAGGGGTCCATTTATCGACTCAGTTGTCAGGTCTATATCATGTGCGTACTACGGGCCAGGCACCACACTAGGCTTTTGGCATGTATTATGTCTAATTCTTACAGCAATCAGTAGGTATTGCTGGGTAGGGATGGTTAAGCCTGGATTTGAACCTAGCACTGTTTTCAATGAGCAAGCCCCATGCAATTTAGGGTTTGGGGCCAGAATGAATAGACTGAATGAGGAAGGGTGCCAGGAAGGGGCTCAGATGAAGGTTGGGGGCAGCTCTGACCCTCCCCTGCTATGCTCTGTTTCCTGTGTGTCAGAAACACTGGGAAGCTCTGGTCACAGGCTGCCCTGGCCTCGAATGTGCCTTGTCAGCATCCTGTTCCAAGCCAGGCTGCAGCCCCTCTACTGGCAAACCTCAGGCTACCAGCTGGAGCCCGCTGAGGTTGTTGTAGTGGGTGAGATGGAGTCAGGGGTCTCGGTGAGAGCAAGGCAAGTCATTAAGAAGGGCGCTTGCTGCAGAGCCAGATCTGGCTCAGTCTCAGCTCTCTACTTACTAGCTGGGTGACCTTGGGCGAATTTACCGCCCTTCTCTAAACCTCATCTTCCTCCTCTGTGGAGTGGGGATAATAACAGGATTTGCCCCATAGGGTTCAGGGGGAGGTGACGGGGAAGACACATGTTGAGGCCCTTGGCGCATGCGCTGTGGCTCCTAATAGAAGAGGTGCTGGACCTGGTAGCAGGCCCAGCTCCACCACTGCTGGCTGTGTGGCTTTGGGCAAGTTACTTAACCTCTCTGAATCAACCCAGCCCCCTCCCTCAGCCCCAGCTCATGTGAAGGCCTGCTTACCAGGCTCAGGAATGGAGATGCTTCCAGTGGCCAGCAGGTTCTGGAAATGAATGGAGGGGTGGGAGGTGCCAGGCCTGAAGGGCAGAAGCCCTGTCTGAGGAACGCAGCCTACTCAGCTCCAGCTCTGGCTATTTTTTGGGGGGGAGAGGTGTGCAGGGATGGGGGATACAGACACACTGTTCCCAAATCTTCTAACTTTTAAAAGGAAGCTGGATCTCTCTCTCTCTCTCTTTTTTGAAGGAAGCTATTTCTAATGGGAAATCTCCCAACTTTTAAATGTTGGCCACTCACTTTAAGACAAATGAAACACATCTGCACGCTGGCAGTGCTGCCCACATAATTCCACTGCTCAAAGTAGGGGTTCGGGGCCCTTCTGGACCATTGCTAGGCCAGGAACCACAGCAGCTCAGATTTGCCAAGTCCAACCACACTTCCCGTCCCCCCCTCTTGGCACCCTGATAAGGCAATCATTGGCCCGATTTTACAGATGGGACATCTGAGGCTTGAAGGTAGTGAGGGGGCGGATCTGAGATTCAGAACCTCAGCATCTCCCCCAAGTTCTCTCCTCCCTCCTCTCAGGCAGATGCACTTTGGCTTCTGCCCCTTCACCGCCGGACCTTCTGGCCAGGGTGTGCCTAGAATCACTCACACCTTCCCTGAAAGCACAGCTCCTGATCATGGGGTGTTGTGATCAGATGGGGAAAGATATGCAGTGGAGGAGTCTGAGGTCTGAGCTGGACCAGCTTTGGAGAGGTAGGGGCCCCTGGATACAGCAGATACAGGTTTCTGCCCAGACTCCAGGAACTTGCCGCAGGGCGCACCCAGCCCACACTAGTGTGCTGCTGGCATTGGCTGTCCCAGCGCGAGAAGTCAGCCTGTGCCAGGTGAGCAGGAAAGCAAGCCGATGGCATGATCCCATTGCCCACAAGGCAGAGGCAGGCTGGGACACGTGTTCATGTTAACATGTGCGTTTCACTGTGTCCAGACCCCCTTCTACCAGGAACTGGGGCCACCTTGGGCTTGCTCACAGTGCCTAATCTGGCCTGTGGGTTCTCAGGCAACTTTTGAAACAACGTGCCTGCCTTCAGTAGGCACCGGGGTTAGCAGGAGTCTGAAGGCCTGGGTTGAATAGTTTCTTAGCTGTGCAGCCTCGGGCAGATGACTTCACCTCCTTGCCTCAGGACTCTCTTCTGCAAACAAGAGGTAATAATAGTCCCTGCCTCTGGGGTTCTTAGAGGATTAAGTGAGGTAATACATATGCAAGTGCTTAGAGCTTGGGTATAAGGAGTGCTCAGCAGGGCCATTATGATCTCCCGCCCAGGTCTCAGGAATGAGGTCCACTTGAATTGGCATGAGTGATGCCCTTCCTGGTTAGCACCTCTCTCCCATCACCATGACAACCCACATCTCACCGTGGGAGTCGGAGCATCAGCAGAGGAGCTGGGAGCAAGGAGCAGTCTGTGCACCTGTCAGGGCTTCACCCCAGGGCCCTGTTCCGCCCTGCTTCTCAAGGCCTCCTGATCTGGGACCTATGTCACTCTCCTAAATGCCAGATAACACTGTCTGGATCAAAGCACCCCAGTTTGTTGACTCCAGCGCTACAAATTGAGGACAACCTCAGGATTCCGGAAAATGCTCACCCCTTGATTTGACCGCAGTGTCAGAAGGAGCCCACAGACTCCTTCAACGGGTTGCAAACAGCCTAGCCACTGCCCAGGAGCCCATTCCTCTCTACCTGAATGGTGTTTACATTTTTTTGTGAATTGGTTGCAACATTTAAAAATCAAGAAACGACACATAAAAAACCCAGGTATCTGGCTTTTCTTTAAAGAGCCAGGAGATTCAGCCAGGTTGGGTTGGCATTCTTGTGGGAACAGGAGAGTAGAGGCCCTTGGGTGGGCAGGCCCTCTACAGGTCTCCCCTGCAACCCTCACCTCCCCCGTGTACCCCATCTCACCTTTTTGTAACCATATCTCTGAACCATGAGGGAACGCAGAAGTTGGAGTGGGGGCTCTCCTGTCCTCTGTGTCCCTTGAGCTGAGAGCCATACAGTTCATCACAGCCTCCCTTTTTCCCCCCACCCCCCATTTAGAACGTGTCTCTGAGCTAGACTTACTTCTTAGCAACAACAATAATAAAACTATGAGCAGTTGCCTGGGTTCAGGTAATGGCTTGTATGAGCTTCCAGACCTTTCTAAAATAGCATAGTCAAACTTTCAGTGGTTCATACAACCTGGGAGTGGCAGGTGGGGTGGGGAGGAAACCATCCCAAGCAGAGGAAGGACTGATAATAGAATAGTGTAGAAATGCAGCGTTTCCGTTCAATTTAAACAAAAGTATTTGAAGTCAGTCTTCTGCACACACTGAGGGGCTGCCGGCCAGCCTGCTGGGGGTAGGTGGGCAGCAAAGGAGGGATGCCAGCGTTAGCAAGGACAAATACAGGATGCCAGGGACTATTGAGTTTCAGATAATCAGTGAATAATTTTTTTTAGTATAAGCATGTCCCGTGCCATATTTAGACATACTAAAAACTAATGTGAAATTCACATGTCACTGGGCATCTTGTGTTTTATCTGGCAACCCTGAAATTAGGTCTTAGAGTGCTTGAAAAGAGCTTCAAACAGCATTTTTTAAAAATACTATTATAAAAAACCACTACTTCTGCCCATGGGGTGTGAGGTGAGGGGTGGGGACCCTCTGAAGCTCTCTCTGCTGACTCTCTCTCCCTTCCAGTGCCAGCCCCTGCAGCGGGCGCCATGGCCGTGGACGTGGCCGAATACCACCTGAGCGGTAAGTCCCAGCAGCAAGCGTGCCATCTCACAGGAGCCTCCCACCAGGCCTGGGGTGGGGAATGTCAGTGGGTCATCTGTAATGGCCTTGTTTTACTGATGAGAACAGTGAGTGAGTGGCCCCCGGTCACACAGCCTTGGGGGCACCAGGCTGGGACCAGTCTGTGACCTCTTCATCTTTCTGCTCTAGTGGCCCCTTCCTGTGGAAGCGATTCCCTCTGTTTGACCTGAGGGGATCCCCTAGGAGGCCCATGTTCTGCTGCTCCCTAAGGTTAAGGCTGTGATCCGGAACCCACTGCCCTGAGGCCATTCCTAGAGCCAAATGAGAGGAAACCCAGGAAGGTTGCTGTTAAATCCACAGGACATTAAACACCGAGACTGCCCAGTCCAGGGACAGCACTGTGGGCTCATGTGGGCCCCAGCAGGCACTGAGCTTAGGAACAGCCTCAAGACACCAGACACTCCAACCAATGGTGGATGGTGTCAGAGCCGAAATATACTTGCCATCTTTTCTCCTTGTGTTCCCCTCCCCATGTGATGGGGAGAAGGGAGGCTCAGTACAGGAAAGGGGCAGTGACTAAATAACAGGGTCAGGACATGAACCCAGGTCTTCTGACTCCTGGGCTGGTGCTCCCTGTCACTCCAGCTCCGCCCCTAGCTCAGCCCCCAGCCAGCTGAGGGCTCAGCTGAAGGACGTACCAGGGACTCCCTTTCCCAATTCCCAGCCAGGAATTTTCTCTTTTCATCTGCATGCTCGCAGGTCTTGGCCCAGGCCCTGGTGTGGCCTTCAGCAAGTGATGAAACCTGAGCCTCCACTTACTTATCTGTAAAATGGGGCAGTGAGGCCTGCCTCGGGGATTGCTGGGAAATGAGCTAAGATGTGTAAAGTACCCACGGTGCCAACACAGCTCTCCCCCACCTCTAGGCCTTCGCACATGCCCTTCCCTTTGCGTGGAGTACTTCCTGCCTCTGCCTGGCTAGTCCTCGCCACTGGTGAGGAGGGGACAGGCCCAGATCTGGAGCCAGATTGTCTGGCAGTGAATATCTCCTCTCTCTCTCCACTTCCTCATCTGTAAAATGGGGATAATAATAGAACCTTCCTCATAGAGTTGTTCTGAGGACTCGGTGGGTTAATATCCATGAAGCGTTGGAACCGAGCCTGGCAAATAGTAAACAGTAAAGGAAGCAATTATTACTGAGACTCCTTCTCCTCATTTCTGGTCTTAGTTCAGACCTCATTCCCTGGGGAATCTTCCCACACCATCCCAAGGCTGGCGCTCAATAAAATGAGTAAATAAAGGAGCATTAGCTGTCAGCACTTCGCGTCAGCTCCCCGGGGTTCCTCCTTCCGCGCCCCAGCCGCACCTCCCCGTGTGCCAGCCAGGCCTGGAAGCTCAGCTCTCGTTCACACGCTGAGTGATTCTGACATCAAAATCCTGTAGTTAAACCGTGCTGGAGACTGATTTCTTTCTTTCTCTTAACAATGCCTGAAACCTTTCTCTGCATTGCCGCAGCGACATCCTAATGACCTCAGTTGTCATTCTCAAAGCCCAGTGACAGTCCCTCCAGAGACAGCACCACTGGCCCCCTCGGTTGGACCTCAGGCTGTTTCTGGATTTCTGCTGTTATAAATACAGACTCGATGACTCACTCCAGACATAAAACTCATTGGGATTTTTTTCCCTTAGAATAAATCCCCCGGGTGGAACCGCTGGATGGGGGGTGTTTTTGTCGTCATCTCCTCTCTCTGGATGAGGAGACTGGAGCCAGAGAGACCAGGTGGCCTCCCAGGGAGCCAAGGCACCTGCACCCAGGCTCTCAATTTTTCTCCCCTGTGGGCTTGAGCCCATAAGTAGATGTGCTCTCCAGCCTCTCCCAGCCTAAGTTCTCCTCTAGATAGTGGGGGTAGGATGCTCAGTGCTGGGTAAATGCCAGGGCTGAAGTCTGTGCCCTGCCCTTCTCTGGAGGGAGTGAGTGTTGTAGATTCTGGCTGGAGCTGGCTGGGCTCAGCAGAGGAGGGGCCAGCTGCATGATTCCTCCCTATGCAGGCTTTGGGGAGCAGTGTCAAAGAGCCCCTCCAGCTCCAAATGCCTGCCCCCCCCTCACTGGGCTCTCTGGATGCTCTGATCTTTGCACCCACCCCTGTTTCCTTCCCTAAACCCCAGTCCCTGGCACCTTGGCCTGGGATGCTGCTTGCTGCTCCTGCACATCTCAGCTTAGATGTCCCTCTTCAGGAAGCCCTCCTGGACTATTCTCACACTCCCGTACACACTGTTTTGTCTGTTTGCCCACCCCACCCTCTCGACTGCTACTTAACGGCAGGGACTGAGCCTGGGGCTGACTCGCTCCACAGGGCACTCAATGGATGCTCGGTAAGTCTCCACCCCTGAAACACCCTCTCCACGTCTCTCCACCCTACTGCCGGGGAACTGAGCTGGGTTGAGACCAGGTGGGGCAGTGGTTACCCCTGCTGGCCCTGGAGTCTGGCTGCCAGAGTTGGAATCCCAGCACCACCCCTTCCTGGCTCTGGGACCTTGGACAAGTTCTCCTATATCTCAGTTTCTCCATCTGAACTGAATATAGAGGCAACACTGAGAATGATTTAGAGAATTTTGTTTGCCGACAGTGTGACCTTCTGCAAAATGAATCCCACTATGTCATTGGCTTCTTTGAGGAATGCAGAGCCAGATTTCTTAGTAGAGTGACTTAACCTGGATGATTCTACCATGTGCCAAGCCCCGTGCTAGGTGACGACTTACCCAACACAGCTGAGGGGGTAGTTAATTACCATGTTTGGGGACAGTGAGGCTCAGATAAGGAAAGTTATTTACTTATCAGTGGACAAAAAGGGTTTGAGCATTTGGATTTGTCCCCAAGCCCTGCACAGCCTACAGCCACCTCTCGCTTCTGGCTGAGATTTTTGATTTTTGATCTTTTTTTTTTTTTTGGTAACAGCTTTATTGGGATAAAATTCACATGCCATAAATTCACCCGCTTAAAGTGTACAATTCAATGAGCTTTAGTATATTGTGCCACCATCAGCACATCAATTTTTAGAATATATTCATCATTCCAAAAAGAAACTCCATATTCAACATCCTCCCCACCACCCCCGCCCCGGCCTCTGACAATCACTAGTCTACTTTCTGTCTGTATGGATTTGCCCATTTTGGACATTTCCTAGAAATAGAATCATACAACATATGGTCTTTTAGGACTGGCTTCTTTCACTTAGCACGATGTTTTCAAGGTTCATCCGTGTTACAGCAGGTATCAGTACTTCGTTCCTTTTTATTGCTGAAGACTATTCCATTGTATGGATGTACTACATTTTATTTTTCCATTCATCAGTTGATGGACATTGGGTTGTTTTAGATGAGGTTTGAGGCAAAAATTGGGTCATTTCTTTTTCTCCTTCAAATCTCTTTCCACTTCCCCCAGATCCCAAAAGGCTGCTTTGATTATCTGGAAGCGCAAGTCCTCTGAAGGTTGAGAGAACTCAAAGAGGCAGGAACAACCCAATCTGTTTAAAGCTTAAGCAATATTTAACCACTGTTCACAGCTCTCCATCTGCTCTAGCCAAGTGTCCTCAAGACATAGAAATGTATGTCTTTGTGGAAAGAGGATAGAAGCAGAAATCAGAGGGTGTACATCTTGTTGGACCCTGGATCCCCAGCACCAAGCACCGAGCCTGGTGCATAGTAGGTACTCAGTAGCTGTTCAATGAGTAAGCAAGTCAGTGCTGAACTACGGGCTCCCCAGGTGCGGATGGGTAACAACTGAGGGGCCATAGGACCCATTAATCAGAGACTGCTCTTGCCTTGCAGTCATCAAGAGCCCCCCTGACTGGGAGGTGGGTGTCTACGCTGCTGGGGCCCTGGCATTGCTGGGAATTGCAGCTGTGAGCCTGTGGAAGCTCTGGACATCGGGGACCTTCCCCAGCCCCTCCCCGTTCCCAAACTATGACTACAGGTACCTTCAGCAGAAATATGGTGAGACCTACGCAGAGGCCAGGCAGAAGGTGAGACTTCCATTCTCATGGATGCACCCTGGGTTGTACACCCCACACCCCCACCGTCCACTCTCAGGATTGGCCCTCACTCCCTCCCTGTTAGTTTCCTCCTGTGAACAGGGACCCTTGTCCTCCTCCAGATTTGCCAGCATAGCCCAGTGCTAGGTAATCAGTGAATACTTGTGAATAAATGATTGCTTTCAGTTTAATAAAACAACCTATGAAAAACACAGGAAAATAAAAATAAGAAGATGGGGGTATGTATAGCTCATGGAGCACATGCTTAGCATGCATGAGGTCCTGCGTTCAATCCCCAGTACCTCCATTAACAAAAAGAAGAAAAACCTCGCCCCAAATGCCACCACCCAGAGGCAAGCAACTGTGACTTGTTTTCTAACTATTAACATTTTGGTTTATATCTTTCCAATATTTTAAATCTAGCCCCCTCCCATAGTCTTTTCTTCGTGCATGGTTTTTACACAATGGCTATCATTTCTACATAGAACTTTATACACTACTCTTTTCATCTCACTTAAAGCCGAAGCATTTTCCCATGTTGTTGAACATCCATCATAAACATCATCTTAATGGCTACACAAGATTCCTTTTTATGTATTTACTAAATGTCACTATAAATACTGCAGTAAATGGTTTATATGTAAAACTTTGTCTTCATTTGGGATCACGTATTTTGAGTGGATGCCCAGATGTGGAATTACTGTATCACAGAGTATAAACATTTTGGGGACTCTCAATATCTATTGCTGAACACTTCCTCATCTGACACTTGGCAGAGAGTTTTCTAACATCATGTGGAGTTCCCAAGAGCACAGCCAGAATCTGTTACCAGATAAGAGTCCCACATGCTCACTTATTTGGGGTTTTGGAAGTGATTATCTCTCACTCTGTTGGGGAGACTGTAAATTGGCACAACTTTTCCAAAAAGCATTTTGTAAACATGTGTCAAAAGCTTTCAAAAGGACTATGTCCTCTAAGTCAAGATTTTTAAGAGTGCTATTCAGTGCTACATTGTTTATATTTGTGAAAAATTAGAAACAACATAAATGTCCAACAGTAGGGGAATAGTAAAATAAACCATGGCTGTGCACTCAATGGCAAATGAAGGAGGCCATTAAAAATTATGGCAATGAAGACTGCACCAGCATGGCAGACACTTATGGTACAAAGGCTTTTCTCTCAAATCCCAAGGTCTTTTTAGAGAAAAGAAAAGTTCGAGTGTTATAGTTAGTGTTATCCAATGTGAAAGCTTTCCCACGTGGTAGACGTTTTTGAAAACTTCCTTTGAGGATGCTCGGTCATCTATTGAGTATATATACTCTAGTTTTCTTACTCATTCCCCTTCTGCTGGATACTTAGATTGCTAAGTATTTTTCCTTTTCATAAACATCAGTTTGGTGAACATTTTTACGTATGGGTCTCAGTCCATATAAACATTTTGAGAAAAAGCTCTCTTACATCCTGGTTAGAGAGAGAAAACTGAATGACGTGAAATAACATTAAAGAAGGACCTCCCTAACTACGGCATCCCCTGCTTTTGCAAACGGGGAACTTGGCAGTGCTTTGCGTGAACGGGGCTTCCCGCATCTCTTTGCCTATTCCCCTGGCGATGCTCCCGTGTTCTTTTCCTCACCCTAGAGAGTGCCTGCTTGGAACACCCAGCGGGCCAGCACTCGGGGGCCACCCAGTCGCAAAGCCAGCCTCAGCATCGAGGACACCTTTGAGAGCATCAGTGAGCTGGGGCCTCTGGAGCTGATGGGCCGTGAGCTGGACCTGGCCCCCTACGGGACCCTCCGAAAGTCCCAGTCAGCCGACTCCCTGAACTCTATCTCTTCCGTGAGCAACACCTTCGGGCAGGACTTCACGCTGGGCCAGGTGGAGGTGAGCATGGACTACGATGCCGCCTCCCACACCCTCCACGTGGCTGTGCTGCAGGGCAAGGACCTCCTGGAGAGGGAGGAAGCCAGCTTCGAGTCCTGCTTCATGCGCGTCAGCCTGCTGCCGGACGAGCAGATCGTGGGTATTTCCCGGGTAAGTGGGGTGGGGGTGGGGCAGAGATGGGGGCAGGGCGGAAGTGTGCCCCAGGGCTCTCAGGAGTCCTTTCCAGGCAGGCAGGGTGCAGGGCCAGGCTGGATGTGAGGAAGGCGCTAGAGAGCAGGTGTTGATCCCAGAGCTGAAGGTGCAGGCTTAGGGAGGACAGAACCGGGAGTTTGGGGACTCCGCTGGCACAGTTCTCACCAGTCCTGCCACACGAGTCCAGTGTGTGGTCATTGCCCATTTTCACACCAGTCCCCTGTCAACTTGGGGTCCTGGCAGGGAAGGGATGACAGGTTCATGTTGGCTAATGGGGGAAAGCTTAATAACAGGACTTTATAATGCTGCTGGTGGGGTGTATGGTGACCTCAGGGATGGCATGTACCCTGGTCTGAGGGGAGGAGGGGAAGGAGAGGTTACCCAAACAGAGTCAAGTGTGTGGAGGGGGCCACCTCGACAGGCACTCTGCCCTTTGGTCAAGGGACACGGTCAGCTGGCAGCAGTCTTACAGTGAAGGTCCTGGGGGAATAAGTACCCCAACCTCCCTCCAACTTCTGGTTTCCCTCCAGTGACCCTCACTGGCTGACCCCACCAGAAGCCAGAGGCCAAGGGAGCCTGCTGATGAAGCCCATGGAGGTCAGCTCCTGGGGCCGAAAGCTGGGGGAAGGGCGGAAAATAAGCGGGGTTGGGGGGCAAGGAGAGGCACCAATCACCCCCCCCAGGATGCGCATCCATGGTCCCCCCACCTTGCCGAGAGAAGCGAAATCTACATGAGACACCCTTCTGCCCGGCACCAGTGGGCAGGCTCAGCCCAGTGCAGTCTCTGACCAGAGTCAGAGGAGCCTGAGGACCTGCAGGAACAGTGCCTTCTGACTCCTTGGAGACCGAACTGTTTTGAGTTCCATTCCCTGTGTTAAAAATTGGCTGCTCCTCAGAAGTGGAGATTGTCATCCCTCTTGCCCTACCCTGCGCCCCTCACTCTAGAAGGGTGTGGAACTGACCACCAGGAAGGGGCAGCCAGCTTCTGGGAGGCAGCTCAGTGGGTGGTTAAGAGCAGGACCCTGGAGCCTGATTGCCTGGGTTCAAATCCCAGTTTCCTGCTTTCTAGAGGTGTGACTTTGGGTGGGTGTCTTAAGCTCTCTGTGACTCAGTTTCCCCATCTGTCAAATGGGCATCATATTGCTTGAGGAGAGGATGTATTAATATATACAAAGTCCTTCATCCAGTCCTTGGTAAGTGCTCAGTGGACTGACTGTCTGTCAGGACCGTGATGCATTTCTGTTGAGCCCAGATCCATGCTGTCTGTGGCCTCGGCTGCCTGGAGGACTCGAGTGGTTCTGGATACATCCCTCAAGGGTGCATGTTGACAGCAACCACCACAGCCTGATATGTGCTGAGAACCTGGTTCACAGAGCCCAACGCGACTGCAGTTCCCTCATTAGCCCCAAAGATAGGAGGGTGGATTGATAGCATCTTACAGATGAGGAAACTAAGGCTCAGGAGGGTGCTTTGCCCCTGACAACCCCAGCAAGTGAGCAGGAGATCCAGGACTTGACCCCAGGGTTCCCATTTTCTTACACCTGTGTGCTCATAAAGTACAATGGATGGTCAGGGAGCCTGCGTTTCTATGGGCAGGGAATGGCCAAGAGGCTTGTTTTGGCCGGAGGAAGGAGATTTATGACCAAAGCCATGAAAAGCCTGAATGCTGGGGTCAGGATTCTCAAGCAGGCAGTTGGGTGGGAACGTGGCTCCCAGGGAGCAATGTAAGAAGAGCCACCCCACAGCCCCGGCAGTGACCACAGAGTGTGGCTCAGGGCATCTGGAGGTGCTGACAGATTTATTCCCAAGAATTCAGGCTTCTTAGCATCACAGCGCAGCCAATCCCAGTGAGTAGGCGGCTACCCCCAGGCTGGGCAGCCCCCCAGCTTCAGGCGAGGTGCCAGGGATGAGAGCTCCTCTCTTTAAATATCACCAGTGACTAAGACAGCCCCCCACGGAAAGGGGACCAGTGCCCACAAGTGCACCTTCCCAGGGGGCCTGCCTACAGCTTCCTGTGAGGAGGCCAGTGGTACCCACTGGGCAGGACTGAGCTTAGAAACAAAGTCTGCCCTGCCTCACCTAGTCACTCCATTGGCCCATCCACCCCACAAAATTCAGGCATTTCTTTTCTTGTCTTGTCTTGGACAGGGGAGGTAATTAGGTTTATTTATTTAATGGAGGTGCTGGGGATTGAACCCAGGACCTTGTGCATGCTAAGCATGCACTTTACCACTGAGCTATGCCCTCCTTTCCTCCTCAACAATGTTCAGACAGTCCTGGGCCAGGCTCTGTAGGAGCTGGGACATCAATGGCTCTCACCTCCATAGACAGTTATCCCTCCTCACTGCATGCCTGGCCCAGGGCTGGACATGTGCAAGAAAGACAGCCAGCTCCACCAGCGCATCGCAAGGTTTCTGAGGAGCCTCCATGGACACTGAGGACAGGAATTAGTTGGGGTCAGACTGTGGAAACTTCGAATGCCAGGGCATTAGACTGGCCACCACTGAGAGGACAGGGGACTTTTAAATCATCAATACTGAGCCACCAAAGGAGGGATTGGCACTGAGGTGTGGAGACAACAGAGCCAGAACTGTAGCCCAGGTCTCCAGGCTCCCGTCCAGTGCTCTCTCCCTCCCGTGGCCTCACAGGCATCCGCTGCCACTTCCTTCCCAGCTTCGGACCTCCTTCCACGGCCCTTTCTCTGCAGATCCAGAGGAACGCCTACTCAATCTTCTTCGACGAGAAGTTCTCCACCCCCCTGGACCCTGCAGCCCTGGAGGAGAAGAGCCTGCGGTTTTCCGTGTTCGGCATTGATGAGGATGAGCGGAACGTCAGCACCGGGGTGGTGGAGCTGAAGCTCTCTGTGCTTGACCTCCCGCTGCAGTCCTTCAGCGGCTGGCTTTACTTACAGGACCAAAACAAGGTAAGCCCGCCCACCGGCCCACGCCTGCAGAGAGCGTCCCACCTCAGAGGGGGTATCCTCTGTTCTCTGCAACAGCCTGAGCACTGACGTCTTTAAATTAGAAAAAGAGAGCTGAGCCACGTTCAAGGAAATGCAGTTTACTGCCTCCAAATGAAAGACCCGTGACCACTCTTGACAGCTCTTCTTCTACTTCTCCTCCCACCAAACCTTTAGGAGCTCTGCTCCTACAGAGTGTCTGTTAGGGAAGTGCCTCTCTGGCCCTCAAGTGAATTATTTCAGACAAAGGCCAAGCTGACGTTTACCTTTATAAGTGTAGGAGTGCTTGGGGAGCGTCACTTATTTAAACAAATGATAACCTAATTCCAGTCCACTTGGACCTCTATGAACTACTACCATAGACTGTTTTCTTTGGTCTGGAATGAAGGAACATAATTGCATTTGTTGCTACATTTGACAGGCAACCTCTGGCCCTTCTTCCAAGGCAGGACCTACACCTGATGGGAGGGAGGATGGTGCTTGTGCAGCGGGTGGGGGAGGAGTCCCTTTCTCAATTCCACCAGCCTGATGCCCTGGTGTCAGAGGCCCCAAGAGCAGCAAGTTCTCAATAGAGAAGGAAGCTTCTGCCTTTCCCTGACCCCCTCAAGTCCAGGGAGCAGAAGCCTCTGAGCCACCCACCTGTCCTCCAGGTGGCCGACGCCGTGGGTGAGATCCTGCTCTCCCTCAGCTACCTCCCTACGGCCGAGCGCCTCACCGTGGTCGTGGTGAAAGCCAAGAATCTCATTTGGACCAGTGACAAGACCACAGCAGGTAAGGCCCTGCTGGCCTCCTGGCTCCTCCGTGTGCCGTGGGAGCCGTGGCCCAGCTGCTAAGCCCCAGGCACCTGGAGGCATCAGCAGGTGTGGGGCACAGTGCCAGGCTCCCCCCACCCCAGCTTTGGCTGAGCTCAGGAGCCGTGCACAGTGGGAGGATTAATCTAGCTAGGGAAACATGGGAACCACGGAGGATGCCAGGGAGCCCCTGTGCGGGGAGGGATGGGAATCTGATCAGGAGGCTGGGGCACTGGCATGAAAACAAAGTGGGCACCCACTCTCCAGACCTGGAATTCAAGTCCCTTCCCAGCAGTTGGACTGCATCCTAGATTTCAGATGGGGATCAGGGCCACTGAGATGATGTAGGTGCCAGGCAGGACCTAATGCCCCAGCTCTGCCAGAGCCTGAGCCCCAGGAAACTTACGACAGAAGAGTGCGGGAGTCCCACCTGCTGGGAGCCTGGGGAGACCTGGAGTCTAGGCAGGTGCAGCAGGCACACCCAGTGGGTGGTAGGTGACAAGCAGATTGCGACTTTTCCAGAGCTGCATGTCCTTGAGTCAGGCTCCACTGAGCGGGCGCCGGGTGACTCAGGGCTGACGTCTGCGCTTGGGCCATTTATACAATGAAAAGCGGTAGGTCTGCCAAGGTCCCCAGAGCATCATTTGAGGGCTGGGAGGGAGGCTGCCTGAGTCCAAAGCCCAGCTCTCCTCCTGACTCGCATGTGAGCCTCAGTTTTCTCATCTGTAAAATAGGAAAGAAACGAAGGATTGATGGCAGGACTGCCAGAGATGATGACAATAGGGAGAGTCTGGGGAGTTGGGAGCCAGTGAGCCGCTGTGATGGGCAGGTCCTTGCCAAGTGAGTGCGGCCCTGCCCTCACCCCCACCCCCACCCCCCTCCCCACCACAGACCCCTTCGTCAAGGTGTACCTGCTGCAGGATGGGAGGAAGATGAGCAAAAAGAAGACAGCTGTGAAGAGGGATGACCCTAACCCAGTGTTCAATGAAGCCATGATCTTCTCAGTGCCAGCCATTGTGCTCCAGGTGCGGGGGTGCTGGGAGTGGGGGCCCCCTCCCTCCCTCCGGCCTAGCTTCTCAGGGCTCCTGCAGGGAGTGATGGTTTGCTTCAAGCCATTACACCTAGAAGCAGGTATTGAGCACCCATTAGGCACCAGCCCTCTGGTGAGTGCCTGGGACACAGGCACCACTTCCTGGGTGCTTACAAGAGACAGGCAGGAAAGCCCCCAGACAGTCCCGGTCCACTAAGAGCATGCCGGACTTTGGCCGTCAGGAAGGCCTCTGCAGGTGAGTGTAGCCAAGTTGAGATCTGGGGGAAGACAGTTCCCAGTGGAAGGAACTGCAGAGGCTGGGGAGGAGTCAGGGCTGACCCAGAGCTCTGGCTCTAATCTCCCAAGTTCTTCCTGCAGAGGCCCTGATGAGCTCCCCAGACCCTCCCCTGACCATGTACGCCAGGGAGACCTCCTCCCAGCACAGATATCCCAGACCAAGGGTGAGAGGACTGCGGAGGATATGGCCTGCACCAGACTGGTGGCTCTGCTTGCATGCCTCAGAGGATGAGGAGCTCACCACCTCCCCTCACTCCCTCCTTCCATCCTTGGGCATTCCTGACCACATGGGAAAGTCCTTTTGTGCCTTGAGCCAAAAGCTGCCTCTTGGCCCTGGGGCTGTCCAGAACCCCCCTAATTTCCCCTCCTGGGACACACCATCTGCATTTGAAAGCCCAGAACTCTATGTCACCCTGGGTGTTCCTAATCCAGGCAAACATCCCAGCATCCCTGGTTAGTCCTGGGTGTCATTGCCTTGTCCTGGGTGCTCATGGGACAGGCCACCCATCTGCCCCTGCTTCCCCTGGGTGGTCTAGGGCCACGACCCCACAGCCTTCGAGGGCGGGAGACTTCTTGGGAGGGGGCTGGGGGTAGGGGGAGCGGGTGCGGGAGGAGAGAAGTCAGGCTGGGTTCTAGTTTCAGCTCCACCACTTTAACCTCAAGCAAGTTCTTTCCCCTCCTCAGTTATGAGTCCAACATATGATTATATTAGGAATAACAAGAGACATCTATGATGCTCTGACCGTGTGCGCACTATTCTCAGCGCTTTACACTTTTTAGTTCATTTTGTTCCCAAGCATGTAGAAACTATTATTATCACTATTTGACAGATGAGGAAACTCAGGTAGGAAGAGCCCAAGTCACTGCCCGAGGCCACACAGCAAGGAAGTGGCAAGGCTGGCATTTGAACCTGGACCACCTAGTGCCACCACTGTGCAGGGAGGCAGCAGAAGGCTGTGAGGTTAGACAGACCAGGAGGGAATTCAGGGAGCTCTGGGCAACCTCTGGCCCTGCCCCTGGTCCCCAGCACCTGCATCACTTCCTCTCCAGGACCTGTCTCTCCGTGTGACAGTGGCTGAGAGCAGCGGTGATGGCCGTGGAGACAACGTGGGCCATGTCATCATCGGGCCATCAGCCAGTGGCATGGGCACCACGCACTGGAACCAGATGCTGGCCACGCTGCGCAGGCCCGTGTCCATGTGGCATCCTGTCCGGCGAAACTAGCAGCCGGGGTAGGGCCAGGGTGGGCATGGGAGCCTGGCACAAGCTTAGCTCTGACACCCTTCTCCATAGTCCAGCTGGAGCCTTGAACGCTGGGGTCCCCCAGTGGAGTCCCCATGCACTATCTTGGTCCCTCTCTCCAGACTGCAGTGGCGGAGTAGGCCTGGCTAGATGTCCAGGGACCCAGGGTTTTCTCTCACTGAGGACCGGCTGTGGCTGGGCCAGGACCCAGGGATGGCAGCCAGGCACAGGCCTACCACGCTCCCATTTTGAAATCCCCAACAGGTCTGTGCCTCAGCCTCGGGGGGTCTTGGCCTTGCAGAGCTCCCCACACCCTACCCCTGTTGGGAGGCCACGCACAGAAACTGGGCGAGTCTTGGGGGGCAGCTGCGGTGCCAGGCACAGGCAGGGGTGACATGAACAAGACACAGCCCCTAGGATGTCGGGAAGACAAGGTCCCCCTGCCCCAGTGATCTGCTCAGTGTGGAATGGCGGCCCCACCAGGCGGACCTGGGGAGGGCTCTGGGGGCCGGGAGGACAAGATGGGAGCTGTGCTGTGAGGGGCAGGGAGAGGACTGAGTGTATCCCAGGCCAGTGGCCCAGCCTCAGCATGGCAGGGGCATGAACTTCCCTGTCACAAACACAGTCCTCAGCCTACTGTGGTGGACGCAAGGGCCTCTCTCCAGGCAGGAGGTGAGACCAAGGGACCAGGCCAACCAGTGGCCCACGGGCCACATGGGACGCTGGCTCCAAGTCATCTCCACGAAATCTAATCCCTAGAACTGTAACCCTTATAAGGCCCAGGGGCCCAAAGAGGCCCAGACCCAGGTCCTTGTGTTCAGTCTCACACATGTCAGGCATTGGCTCCACAGCATTTGTTGGAGTCCCTCCGGCCCAGGCCCTGTCGGGAAGAGAGATGCTTCAGCCTCTGGGGGGGCTGGTGGGCAGTGGGGTAGCCAGAATACAGTCTGCCGGGGGCGTGGAGAAGCCTTTGTGGGCACAGGCACCCGGGAGGATGTGGTGGGACAGGAGTCCCTTGGCTGGGCCTTGGAGGAAGGGCCAGCCTGAGCAGTGGCAGGGAGGGGAAGTTCAGGGGGGTCAGGATGGAGCTGGGGAGGCAGATTTGATTGCCAGACTGGGAAGGAGGTGGCTCTGGAGCACAGGTTCAAACCCCCAGGACACCAGGTGCCCTAGGTCGAGTTCCAGAAACAGACCCTGAGATTCTCAGGCAAGGGGTTAATTGGGGCTGTGCCCTCAGGAGAAACCTGTTAGGGTCAAAGGGATGGAGGGGTGGGGAGGTGGTGCAGCAACGTCTGCTCTATGGGGCCGCGCACTGGTGAGAGCCTGGGTTCTCAGGCTGGTGCACTGTGGAGACCCAGGCCCAATCAGTTGTCCCCAGTGATGTTGGGGGGCCCAGGGTGGTCATGGGACTGGAGGCAGGACCTGACAGCTGCGGGCCAGGGTGGTCATGGGACTGGAGGCAGGACCTGACAGCTGCGGGCCAGCCCTGAGGCCAGGCTGCACCATGTGGCCAGCACATCAGGAGGTCTGCACGCCCGGGGACATGCAGCTGGTGAGCCTCTGCAGCCTGGGAGAGCCGGCGCTCTTTCTACCCCAGTGGCTCCACAGTGCAGGCAGTTTTCTTCCCACCTCCTCCTCCCTCTCTCTCTCCCTCTAACTGCATGAAATGTTGATTGTGCACCTGGATGGGCATGGTGGGGACCAAGTATGCTGACTGGAATAAGTCTAGAACCAAAATAAAGCTGGGGCAGGAAGAAGGGGGCTTCTGGGGAGCCATGCTCGCCCCAAATCACCTTCATCTCCAGAAATCAGGGACTCGGGCCTCCGTGTGGGTTGCTGCCAGCATGCCTTCCTCTGCTGCCGGGTGCCTGGAGGAGGAGAGGGCCCCTGTCTGGTGGGGATACCATCACAAGGACCAGTGCCAGCTGCTAGGGAAGCTCTGAGAAGGGTCCCCAGCTGGGGCTGGCCGGGAGAATGGCAGTTCAGAATATCAGGGCTTCCCAGCGGTGTCACTGAGCTGTCTTCAGGGCAAGAAGGATCAGGCCAAAAGAGGTGGATAAGACCAAAAACAAAAGCATCCCTGGCAAAGGGAACAGCATGTAGACAAGGCCGAGAGTGGGCAAAAACTTGGCCAATTTACCAACCTTGCCAGTGCAAAGTTGGGGAGGAGGGGGAAAGGGAGCCGAGGAAAGGCTCAGGGGAAGCAGGGCCATGTGAGTTCAGTGAGTGTGGTGCCTAGCCTGCAACCCTGTAACCCTGCTGACTGAGACATAGGTACTCCTGTCAGCCCCTTTTTTGCAGATATGGAAACTGAAACTCAGAGAGTTTAGGTAACTAGCCCAAGATCACACAGCCAGAGAGTCTCAGAGCTGGGATTCAAGCTCAAGCTGTCTAGCTCTTGAGCTCATGCCTTAATTATTAAACCACACTGCCCTCTTCCCCAGCCCTGCAAAGGTGGGGCTGAGAGGCAGCTGAGAAGCCCCTCTGGGTTCCAGGCTGCTCCAGTTTTCCCCTCTCCTGCTCTAGAAGATCACAGCAAGCATGGGAGGAGGAGGATCTGGGAATCCCCTCAGGGGGCTTCTGTACCCAGGGGCCTGACTTTGAAGAACTTCTGTGGAACCCCAGACCCATCCCCAATACCCAGAAGACAGGCGTAACCAGTGAGACAGAACACTGCAAGAGCCCAAGAAGGGTGGACACCAGGGAAGACTTCCTGGAGGAGATGGAAGCACCACCCTTGCAGTGTGGGGAGGACTGTACATGCAGAGGAGGGAGAGCAACCTCCAGACAGGGAAACTGCCTATACAAAGGTGTCACATGTGTCTGGGGAGCCACACAGCCAGCTGGGCTGGGGAGGCTTCATGTCTAGGGTGAGGCTGAAGGTCCTAGTCCTGCTGGCAGTGAGGTCCTGGGCAGGAGCAGGTTGGAGGGAGGGAGAGAGGGGCCACTCTGAGCAGCTTTGGAAGCAATGACAAGGGAAATCAGCCAGCGCTGCACTTGGGCAACAAGGAGCAGTCTGACCTGCCTTTAGGTTTTAGGTTCATTTCACAGGGCCCAAACCAAGGTACCCCCATCTCTTCCTGCCTCTTTCTCCGTTCCCACCCTACTCTTCCCCTCTCCTCCAGCCCTTGGCCTGTGGGCCTGCCTTGAGGGCCTCAGGCCCCTTCTGTCTCAGAGCCGTCAGGGGTAGGCTGAGTCCCACCTACAAGGACAGGTGTGGAGGTCACTGTCCTGAGCAGCAACAGTGGCTGGGCCCCCTGGCACGTGGGAGGAGCAGGATGAGCCACGGCAGCAGCCACAGGTGACAGCAGTTCAAATCCTCACTGCCTCTCCTGCCTGGCCGTCTATGCCTGCAGACACCTGCACGGACAGACCAAAAAGCTAAACAAACACTAGGACGGCCACAGGGCTCCCTCCCTCTCCACCCACTCCCACCCCATTATCAAACTTCCCATCCCACCCAGAACAGTCAGTAGTGGTGAGGGAGGGACAGAAGGCCTGCGACCCCAGAACTGATCTCCAATTAAATGGCAGCTGGAGTTGACCTGGTCTGAGGGAGGCCAGACAGGAGGACATTTGGGACAAGAAGCCCTCCTGGGTTCCACCTGCCATAGCCTAGGTCTGCTGCTTACTTGCTGTGTGACAGGTTCCTTTCGCTCAAGAGCCTCAGTTTCCCCATCAGAAGGATGAGTGTATTGGTCAAGAAGGCCTCCAAAGGCACACAAACCTCTACTTCTCAGCTGTGGGATCTCAGGCAAATTATGTCCCCTTTGGGACTCAGTTTCTTTATTTCTCAGAGGAGGATAAGAATTATACACACTTTATAGGACAGAATGAACAGACCCATGCCAAGCGTCTGGCACACAGTGGGTGCTCAGTAACCCTGAGGTCCAGACTTTAGGTGGAGGAGTTCTGGAGCTTTTGGGACCTGGTGTTTGGGATGGAGGGGAGGGGACATCGAGAGGCCTGAGGAGCAAAGGGTCTGTGTCCCCGGCCAAGGCATCCCAAGTGGCAGGACCGAACCTCCAAAGTTACACCCCCTCTGGCACCCACTTCCCCCACCTTCAACCACTGGTAAAGACCCCACGCCCCAAGCCAAGAACCCCAGGCAGAGTCAGCAGCCCTTGGTGAAGACAGTACAGGGAGCCGAGCGGCCACATGGGGGCAGCAGAGACTCGGCTGGACAGCAGGGGATTCTCTGCCACAGGGAGGATAGGGGTGAGATGTCAGAAAATGGGGCTGAGGGACCAAGGCCAGGGGAGCCTTGGAGCAGATGGAGGCTGGATAGTGATCACCTGCCTGCTGACCCCACACTCAGGTCATGCGCTGAATTCGTTCATCCGTGCTACTTGATTCATTTCTTCAGTTTGTTTATTCTTTCAAGTCAGCCGGTCTTCCTTCCTTCCCCTTTCCCTCGCTCCCTCGTTTTCCTTCCTTTCCCCTGTTTGTCCAGCCAGGCAGTCAACTGGACATAACATCCTGAGCCACAGCAGAGTGCCAGCCTGGGGCCAGCACTCCTGTCTAGGGATACAGAGACTTGTGGGCCTTGGTCCCTGCCCTTGAGGTGCTCAAGGCTGGACTGGAGGCTGAAAGATCCTGCCTGACCACATGCATCTGAAGGAGGGGATTCCATGTCAGGCCATCAGGCCAAGGGCCGGCCTGGCCACCTCCGCTGTTGTGGGGCAGTGACCTGTCGAGCAAGTTGCAGAAGGACTCTGGGCTTGGGACTGATGGGGCCTCAAGGGGCTGAGTCACCCCAAGCTGGTGGTGAACGGCAGCCACAGAAAACAGTAAACAGGACTCTGGCCAGGCAGACAGTAACCCGGGCACCTCCCCACTCTAAAATAAACTCCAGGAAAACAGTGCCGTCCAGGGCCCAGGAATGTCTGAGATTTGGAAAAATTCCATGCCAACCAGGGCAGATTTCCCGGGCCCAGTGACAAATCTCCTTGCAGAAGCAGGAGAGTAGCATGGGAGTGAGGCTGGGTTAACATCAGGAGACCTGGATTGAGATCCTGGTTCTGTGTCTTGCTAGCCTGACACAAGCCAATGTCTTTCTCTGAGCCTCAGCTTCCAAATCTGTAGACCGGGGGACAGGTCACCTGCTCTGCCCAGCTCACAGTCAAATAATGCATGTAGGGTGTGGTGTTGGGAGAGAGACCAGCTTTGTGGCCAGACCTGGGTTCAAATTAGAGTTCTGCCTCTTGCTAGCTATGGATCTTAGATGAGAACTTTAACCTCTATGGGCCTCAAGTTCCTCATCTGTGAAATGGGCTAACAATTCCCACCTGCTAGGGGACAATGCCTCCATGCAGTTAGCAATCCATTAATGGGCACTGTTCTTATTAGGAAATGTTCAGTGAAACTGTGAAGCATGACACACATCAGCAGTGTCATTAAAGTGATTATCCCTATAGCAACCAAGGCCAAAAGCCTCTGCTTGACTCTCAGCTCCTTCCGCCCCTAGGCCACACCTGCCTCCCAGCCTTGCCACCCAAAGCCTGATGACAGCAGTACTGGGGAGAATAAGGGATGACAAGGCTGACAGCTGATCCTTGGGGGATGGGGTTCCTCCCCACCACTCCTTGGGGCGGGGAGCCCTACTCAGTAGCTACACACCCAGCCCGGTGACAAGTCACTGCCCAGCCCTTTGGCGGTTTCCAAGAGAAAGGGGCATCTGAAGGGTGGGGATGTCCTGGGGTGCTCCCTCCAGCCTGGTGAGGCTTCAGTCTGCTGACTGTGGCCCTGGGTGAGCTTGGAATAGGAGTCAGGGGTCTTGGCTTGCCTCTGTGCAGAGGGGGGCTGCCTCTTTGGACCACAGTGAGGTTCAAAGAGGACTGAGGGTGGTTTTTCACCCGTCTGGCTTTGAACTCCATGGAGAATGACATCATGATCTGTGTGTGTGGGTGGGGGTGAAACCCAAAGACTTCTGCCCCCCATTTCTTGAGCTTCAGTAAAAACAGTCCAGGATCTGGGGAGGTCCGTGTGCCCATTTGAAAAATACATATTTCAATTCTGGCTACTAACAGGGAGTCAGGTGACAGTTTCCAGTCCAATTCTGTATTTATTCCTTGCCAAAGTGCTCCACTAACCAGGCCTTATTGAACCCTCAGCCTCACCCCCGGCATTGGCTCCCCAACCCAACCTCACCCTCCGTCACAGGGACCCACCTCTCTTGCCTCCACACGTTGCTTGTGCTGTTCCCTCAGTTTAAATCAAGTTTTCCCTGCCCTGCATCTGTGTCTCACTTTTCCCTCAAGACTCTGGCCCCTCTTCTCAGAAGGGTTTCCTGACCACCACCCCCAACCTAGGTGAGGAGCCTCTCTCCAGCTCCCATCCCCTGCCTGTCCCCACCACCGTTGTGGCTCTTATCCCCCATATCCTCCTGCCTGCCTCCCATTCTAGGCAGTGGGAGACAGC